ACGCCGAGTATGCTGCTCTCCTCCAATCAGGAGTAGGTCCTACAGTTTATTGGTTGAACTGGAGGCAGCTGTGTAGAAGCTGCTTCTCCCTTCTCAGCGCCATATTGTGGGAGAGCAGATGCATAGAATAAGTCTTAATTCCAGTAACTTAGTCTAGTCCGAGTTGCTCCCCACACATTACTGTTTCAACTTGCACTTCCCTAATGATGTATGATGTTGCCCATCCTTCGTGATGCTCATTTGCTGTCTGTATGTCTTCTTTGGTGAGATGTCTTTGTCTCCTTTCTAATCAGGTGGTTCATTTTCTTGTTGTTGAGTTCTAAGAGTTCTGTGCATGTTTTAGATGACAGTCTTTATCAAATATGTCATTTGAAAATGTTTCCCAATCTGAGGTTTGTCTTCTCATTTCCTTGACAAATGTCTTTTGCAAGCAGTTTTTAATTTTAATGAAAACTAAAATTATAAATTATTTCTTCATGGGCCATGCTTTTGGTGTAGTATATAAAAAGTTATCACTGAGGGGGTGGTGCTGTGGCGCAGTGGGTTAAAGCCCCAGCCTGCAGCACCACCATCCCACATGGGCACCAGTTCTAGTCCAGGCTGCTCCACTTCTGATCCAGCTCTCTGCTATGGCCTGGGAAAGCAGTAGAAGATGATGGCCCAAGTCCTTGGGCCCCTGCACCCACATGGAAGACCTGGAAGAAGCTCCTGGTTCCTGGCTTCAGATCAGCTCAACTCTGGCCATTGTGGTCATCTTGGGAGTGAATCAGCAGATGGAAGACCTCTCTCTCTGGTTCTGTCTTTGTAACTCCGTCTTTCAAATAAATGAAATAAATCTTTAAAAAAAATAAAAAGTTATCACTGAATTCAAGGTCTTTTAGCTCTTCTCCTATTTTAACTTCTGGGAGATTAATAATTTTACATTTAGATATATGACCCATTTTGAGTTAGTTTTTGTGAAAGGTATAAGGTCTGTGTCTACATTTTTTTTTCTGGTGGATGACCAGTTATTACAGCATTGTTTACCAAGAAGACTATCTTTTTTCCATTGTATTGCTTTTATTCCTTTGTCCAAGACATAATGATTATATTTGGGTGGATATGTCTTCTGGGCTACTTCATTCCATTGATCCATTTAGCTATTCTTTCACCAATACTACACTGTCTTGATTACTATAGCTTTACACCACATCTTACAGTCTGGTGGTATCAGTCCCCCAGTGTTGTTCTTTTTTGTATTGTGTTGGCTATTCTGAGTCTTTTGCTTCTCCAAATAAACTTGAGGATCATTTTGACAATTGATATAATTGAATCTTCCTATCCATGAACATGGAATCTCCATTTAGTTAACTCTTCTTTGATTTCTTTTATCAGAGTTTTACAGTTTTCCTCACATAGATCTTGAACATATTTTGTTAGATTGTATCCAAGAATTTCACTTCTTGAAATGCTAATATAAATGATCTTGTACCTTTAATTTTAATTTCTTTTTGTTAGCAAAATATATTTTATATATTGACCTTTTATTCTGAAACCTTGCTACAGTAACTTCTTGGTTCCAGAAGGTTTTTGCCAATTCTTTTGAATTTCCTACATAGACAGACATGGCATCTGTGAACAAAGACAGTTTTATTTCTTCCTTCCAAGTCTGTATATCTTTTACTTCCTTTTTTTTGGCTTGTGCATTAGTTACAACTTCCAGTAATGTGTTAAAAAACAGTAATGGAGGGGACATTCTTGACTTATTCCTGATTTTAGTGACAAAGTTTCCACTTTCTCACTGTTAAGAAAATGTAATGTCTTAGTTGTTGGCTCTTTGTAGATCCTTCTGATGAAGTGGGGGAAGTTGTCCTCTATTCTTAGTTTGCTGAGACTTTTAAAATCATGAATGGATGTTGGATTTTTTTCAGATACTTTTTCATGATACTTGACATAATCATGTGGTTTTTCTTCCTTAGCTTGCTGATATGATGAATTATATTAATTGATTTTTTGAATGTTGCAAGCCTGGAATAAATCCCATTTGCTAAAAATAATTTTTCATTATTGACTAAAGGAACAAAATATCTTTTTAATCTTACTTTTTTATGTTTTAAATGAGAGAAATAAGATGGAATGTACTTTGTATTTTTGACAAATCACAGTTTAGCACTTTGTAAAATTGTATTTTGAAAGTCTGGTTCCAGTTCCAGCTTATTTTGATAAAACTTGGCTTGAGATGTCTGGCAAAGACACTGATAAAAATGTATGGACTCAAAAAGGAAGAAGAAGGTTATTGTCTGCACTGAGTAATCATAATAATATTTTTTTAAAAGCCACATATTAGTTGTATCAGGACTCTCCAGAAAGACAGAAGCAATAAGAGATATATCTCCTATTGTCTCTAAATAACAAGCTAGCTAAATAAATAAATTATGAAGGCCAAAAATTTACATGGTCTGCTGTCTGCAAGCTGGGGACCCAGGACTGTTGGTGGTATAATTCCTGTCCAAGTCTAAAGACCCAAGAACCAGAGGAGCTGATGGTCTAAGTCCCAGTCCAAGAGCAGGGGAAGAAGGTTAATGTCCCAGCTCAACCAGGCAATCAGAAAGGGGCCAAATTCTCCTTTCATTTTTTTGTTCTGTTTAGGCTCTCAACAGATTAGATGATGAGCACCCACATTGAGGAAGGCAATCTATGGGGTCCACTAATTCAAATGCTAATGTGAGGGGTCAGACAGGTTAATTGGCAGTTAGGTTGGTTATGTTGCAAAATGAGGAAACCAGAGTCCCTCTATAAGAGGGTGCAAAATGCTTTGCTTCCCCCAGAAGCTATCTTTAGCCAAATCAAAGTCCTGAATCCCACTTCCTTTAGCAAGACAAAAGTGCCTATCTCACTCTTCTTAGTTTCTAGTTTTATTGAGAGAATAGAAAGGTTACCTATCCCACCCTTCCAATGGCTCTTTGATTTTGATCATGAGCAAGCTAAACAGGGCAAACAAGATTACAAATCAGGTTTCCTAAGTGATTGTTAGCTGATTGTCAGTTTTCTCCCAAAATTGTGCTTAAAAACTCCAGCACCAACAGCCTCTCAGGGCTGCCTCCTTTGGAGCTCCCCTCCAGGCCACTGCAGAAAAGAGGTTTCTGACATAAATAAATCTTGCTTTTCTCTCTGCCTTGTCTGCATGAAAATGCTTCTTTCGGGCCAGTGCCTTGGCGCAGTGGTTTAATCCTCCGCCTGTGGTGCCGGTTCTAGTCCCGGCTGCTCCTCCTCCGATCCAGCTCTCTGCTGTGGCCTGGGAAAGCAGTAGAAGATGGCCCAAGTCCTTGGGCCCCTGCACCCACGTGGGACACCCAGAAGAAGCTCCTGGCTACTGGCTTTGGATCAGCCCAGCTCTGGCTATTGTGACCATTTGGGGAGTGAACCAGCAGATGGAAGATCTTTCTCTGTCTCTCCCTCTCACTGTCTGTAACTCTACCTCTCAAATAAATAAATAAAATCTTTAAAAAAAAAATGAAAATGCTTCTTTCATGTGAGACAAAGAACCGAGGTAATCTGCCAACGTTTCACCCATAACACTAAAGTCATTCAGAAATAACCTCACATTCAGAAATAATTGTAATTCAGGCACCTTGTAGCCTAGTCAAGCTGAATACAATTCACCATCACATCAATTATACAAATATTTTGGGGAATAGGCTTTTAGGGTGGCAGTTAAGATCAGTGCCCCACATCAGGGTGCCTGGGTTTGATTCCTGGCTCCTGCTCCCCACTCCAGGTTCCTGCTAATGCAGACCCTGGGAGGTGGTGATGATGGTTCAAGCAATTGAGTCCCTGACACTCACATGGTAAACCTAGATTGTGTTCCTGGCTCCCAGCCCTAGACCATCCCTAGCCCAGTCCCAGCTGCTGTGAGCATTTGGGTAACAAACTAGCAAATAGTTCTCTCTTTCTCTCCCTCCCTCTTCCTTCCCTCATATAAATAAAGGATTTTAGTTTTAAAATGCAAAGATTTTTGTTGAAATCTGGCTAGTAGATTTCTGTCTTTTAATTTATCATTTGAAAGGCAGAGTGACAGAGACAGAGAGCTTTTATTTGCTGGTTCACTTCCTAAATTCCAGTAATGGCCCCATGCTAGGACTGCAACTAGCAGCCAGTAATCCAATTCAGCTGTGTGGCAGGGCCCCAACGACTTGAACTATCATCTGCTGCCTCCTAGGGTATGCATTGGCAGAAAGCTGGAATCAAGAGTGGAGCCGGCACTTGAAAACCCAGGCACTCCAACATGGGATACAGGGGTGCCAACCACTAGGCCAAACGCCCGTCCCAAATTTCTTTTAATACCAGGCTATTCTAGTAAAATAAGTAGAAGATGCAACATTTTGAAAATATTTTCATTTGGAGGATACTTGAACAGGATTGAAAATTTCATGTCTATGGTTTTTTATGTGTATAGATATGAAAGTTTTTATAATTGTCACCTATACACATCCTTTTTTTAACTAAAAATAACACAAGGAAGGAAATTTGCAAACATCTTTGTTCTCTGTATAAAATGTTTCAGAAACTAGTTACTTTCTCACTTGTTTAAAAAAATGACCTTCAACCTCAAAGGTAGAGATTATGTGCTTTTACAACAAGTTTCTACTAAATAACAATGGATTGAAATAGAACAATCCTCAGAACTGATTGGAGACATCACTATATAAACCCGCAAACTGTGTCCACTCACCTGTTGTGCAGAAAGCCAATCACAGACACTGGTGTGGTGGAAGAAAGGAGGTGGTGATTGCAAACTACAGAGCCAGCAGCTCCCTCTTGATTCCCAGGCTCCTCAAGGTAATACTGGATTCATCAAGAAGATAGAATTAGGCTCATGGACTGGAGGCCACACCCCCTTGCCCCAAGCGTGATCTCACGTGTATCCACTCACCTGTCAATCAGACTACATAACCAGTAGCCACGCCCCTTTTGGAAGTGGATAAGAGGCTAGAGTGCGCTGGGCCTGCTCCCTGCTCTCCTGGGCACCTCTTGCACTGGGCCGTTTCCCAGCTTCTCGTGCCTGCTCTCCTGCACCTCTGCCGGCTACCGCACTCCCGCCCATGCGCGGTCTCGCTTGCAGTCTCTGGGCTTCTCCCTGGAAAAGGCAGGTATGGAACTTCCCATTTGCCCTTCCTGGGCCCGTCTCCCTTAATAAAGTCCTCACGTTCCTGTCTATTTCTCACACTTTCCAAACAAATCCTGAACCTTACCATGTTGCATGTCTTGTTTGAGCCAGTGCTTAGAATTCTTATCTAAGTAAACAGCAAGAACTCGAAATATTAAATTTTGGTTTATGTTCCCCAATACAAAAGAATTAAGGATTAAGGTTCTTAAGGATCTAAGTTGGAGCTGAGAGACGTGTATTCAGTTCATGTCCAAGTTCCTGGTTAGTCTGCAGTGCCTGCGGCCTTCCTTGGTTGATCCTCAATTCCTTGCTCTTTTTTTTTTCTTTTCTTTTTTTGACAGGCAGAGTGGATAGTGAGAGAGAAACAGAGAAAGGGCTTCCTTTGTCATTGGTTCACCCTCCAATGGCCGCCGCGGCAGGCGCACTGCGGCCGGCGCACCGCGCTGATCCGATGGCAGGAGCCAGGTGCTTCTCCTGGTCTCCCATGGGGTGCAGGGCCCAAGCACTTGGGCCATCCTCCACTGCACTCCCTGGCCACAGCAGAGAGCTGGCCTGGAAGAGGGGCAACCGGGACAGAATCTGGCGCCCCAACCGGGACTAGAACCCAGTGTGCCAGCGCTGCAAGGCGGAGGATTAGCCTAGTGAGCCATGGCGCTGGCCATCCGTGCTCTTTATGCTGGAAAAGTAAGCTTCAGTTCGTCTGGGTGCTACATACAGGTGGTGGTAGCTGCACCACTCCCTCAATTCAGTGAGTTAATTTTAATAACAGGTTGATGTGCAGCAATTAAAACAGGGCAAAGACAAGCTCGGGAAGGAAGACTGGAAGGCTGGGACCTGGACTATCCAGCATCTGCAGTCAAGGGGCTGCATAGAGGCTTGGTTTCAGATCACTTGTCATGCCAGGAAAAGTCAGCAGATTTGGAATTCTTATTTAACGTAAAAGAAAGATTAAGTTCCATTACTTTAAAAGTGCTTTCCCACAAGATCTCAGTATGGTACAAGCAATTTTCATGATTATTGCCCATCCCATCAAGAAGGTTAAAGACTCTGCTTTTTAAAATAATATAATCAGGGCCAGCGCTGTGGTATAGCGAGTGAAGCCACCACTTGCGGTGCTGGCAATCCCATGTGGGTGCCAGCTCAAGTCCCAGCTACTCCACTTCTGATCCAGCTCCCTACTCATGCACCTGGGAAAGCAGCAGAGAATGGCCTGAGTTCTTGGGCCCTTGCTGCCCACATGGAAGACCCAGAAGAGCCTCCTGGCTCCTGGCTTCAGATCGGCCCACTTCTAGCCATTGTGGTCATTTAGGGAGTGAGCCGGCTGATGGAAGATCTATCTCTCTCTACAAATAAATAAAATAACTCTTTAAAAAATAAAATAATCTAGAGGTCGGCATTTGGCACAGTGGTTAAGATGCAGCGTCTAAGGCCCACATCCCGTATCAGCATGTCTGGGGTTGAGTCAAACTCGGCTTCTGATCCTAGCGTCCTGCTTCCTGTTGGTGTGCACGCTGGGAGTCAGTGGTGATGGCATTTGGGGAATGAAACAGTGGATAGGAGGAGATCTTTCTTTTGTCTTTCTGCTTCTCAAATAAAATTTAGAATAATCCACAAATCCACATAACTGAAATCCTTTACAGTGCATCAGTGGCAAAAATCTTTACTCATCATCATTATAAACAAAATTCCCATAACACAAAATTTACTACTTTAATCATCTTCAGGTATACAATTCAGTGGCTTTTAACATACTCACCATGTTTGTAACTGTCACCACCATCTAATTCCACATTTCCATCACCCCCGAAAGAGACCCTGTATGTTGCCTTTTTTTTTTTTTAAGAGTTATTTGAGAGCCAGAGTTACAGAGAGGCAGAGACAGGAAGAGAGGTCTTCCATCTGCTGGTTCACTCCCAAAATGGCCACAATGGCTGAAGATGGGCCAGGATGAAGCCAGGAACCAAGAATCTCCTCCGGGTCTCCCACATGGGTGCAGGGGCCCAAGCACTTGGGCCATCTTCTACTGCTTTCCCAGGCCACAGCAGGGAACTGGATTGGAAGTAGAGCACCAGGGACTCGAACTTGAGTACACATGGGATGCTGGCACTACAGGTGGCTGCTTTACGCACTACATCACAGTTCTAGCCCGTGAGACCCTGTATGTTGTTAACCAGTCACTCTGAGTAACCTTTCCCCATCCCCTGAAAACCACCAATCTTGTTCTTGTCCCCATTGTATCTTTTTTAAAAGATTTTTATTAACTTATTTATTGAAAGGTAGAATTACAGAGAGAAGGAGAGAAAGAAAGGTCTCCCATCCGCTGGTTCACTCCCCAAGTGGTCACAATGGCCAGAGCTGCGCTGATCCGAAGCCAGGAGCCAAGAGTTTCTTCCGGGTCTCCCATGCAGGTATAGGTGCCCAAGCACTTGGGCCATCTTCTACTGCTATCGCAGGCCATAACAGAGAGCTGGATTGGAAGAGGAACAGCCAGGACTAGAACCGGTGCCCATATGGGATGCCGACGCCGCAGGTGGAAACTCCACCCACTACTCCACAGCTCCCCATTGTATCTTGAAGCACCCTCTTTTCTCTCAGAATACAGTGCCCACTGTGAGTCACTAGTGACTTCTGGAAGTATGTCAATTTGACCAGCACAATGAATATCATCAAAGCCTATTTAATTTCTTACTTTTTAAAAATTAGAAATATCATAGCAGTGATAATCATTTCTTTCTGAAGTCTGCAGCCATTTGTCAGAGATGGAAGTTCCTAGCATGCTATAGATGTTACAGTACCATAATTAGGCCCACATTTCTCAACACTAACCTCAATAGAGAAACAAGAGTTGATGCAGGGAGACAGTAGTAGGAGTGACCACCTGGAGCAAGGGGGACTCCATGGCCCAAATATGCCCTTTCCCCATCTATAAGCTAGCAGGACGGATTTTAAAAGAGAAAGGGTTAAGGGGCAGTGCTGTGGCGTGGTAGGTAAAGCAGCCACCTGCAGTGCCAGCATCCCATATGGATGCCGGTTCAAGTCCCAGCTGCTCCACTTCTGATCCAGCTCTCTGCTATGGCCTGGGAAAGCAGTAGAAGATGGCCCAAGTCCTTGGGGCCCTGCACCCACATGGGGGCCCTGGAAGAAGCTCCTGGCTTCGGATCGGCCCAGTTCCTGCCATTGAGGCCAATTTGGGAGTAAACAAGTGAGTAGAAGACCCCCGCCCCCCAGCTCTGCCTTTCAGATAAATAAAAGTCAAGCCCCTGAGGCAGTTTCAGGGAGCACACCGTTATCTTAGGCCCTCAGGGATTAACAAATCACAACTGCAAGGTAGAATAGTTTTATATACAGAAATGAGTAAATCATAGCTTAAAGACAATTGCAGGAGCACACAACCATCTTTTCAAGTATGTGATTAGGCCTCTATGGCAGGTGGGGAACTGAATTGGTTTTTAAGTTAGTACTTGTTTGCTTAGACCCAGCTGGCACTTTGATAACATGCAGGAGGGAGTCTGTAGCAGTCCCTTGCATTGGCTCCTTAATGGCAGTGGGAGGGGGTCTGTAACACAGTGAGTATATTCTTTTTGTTTCAGGAATGAAAATCAGTCCACCACTCTTAGATCCTTCTGATGGTCACCATCAAGCTCTCGAGGTATCCGCTACAAAGGATGCAGTGTTAGGCTGAGGGTAGCTCTGAGTAGGAGCAGGGCCTGGGGTTGGGAAGGTAGTGCTTGGTCAGAATATGCACAGAAGCTGCATCTATGATGGCACTTCAGAAGGCTTATGGAAAATGGAATAAAAATGTTTATTTTGGAGCCAATTTTTAAAAATCCATGCATATGGGGAGCTTCAGAAAGCTCACGAAAAATGTGTATTAGGAAAAAACTATGCTTGGGTTTCCAAATTGTTTCACATTCAAAAACACTTATCTTTTAAATCTATTTTCCATAGACTTTTTGAAGTCACCACAAACATTGGTGACACAGGTTTGAATCTGAGAATTCGTGTTGAATAACATACATCTGTCACTTCTACAGTAGACAGGAAGAAGAAAGCTCTAGACTGGTTTCCACCAAGTCTCCTCCTCTCCTATACCACCAGGCAGTCAGAGACCTCACTTGTAGTCCTATCAACAAGAGATTTGTTTTTTCCTGGAGGATTTACACCTCCCTGTGGCTTGGAGAAGGTTCTTGCATGGGCAATTCTGGAATAATCTAGAACCCAACACTTTCAGACTGTCCCTGAGCTGTCGTAACTGAAAGCCCACTGAGGGCGTGCTTGGGTTTTGACCATTGTTTTCCCCCATGCCTTGTATAGTTCTTGGCATAGAGATGGTATATAAATATTGAATGAATAAAGAAAATAATGAGCAGCAAAAATGTGTTGACAAATGCAACAATCAAAAATCATTGCCACGCCCCTGGGACGCTGTTCATCACCAATAATCCTCTTGCAGCAGGAACAGAGGATGCTGTGGTCCAGGGCTGGGCGACACCGCGGTCACGCGAGCACAGGAATTGGGACCCAGCATCTTCAGAGCAAGCAGCAGAGCAGTGCCGGGCTCAGTGGAGTCTCAGTTCAAAATCTCTGCCTCTTCCACATCCTGACAATCCTGCCTGATTTATTCCCCTTTGCTTTTATGATGTGAGGCTTCTCACATTGCTAATACATTACTCATGTTAGCTATATGGACAGCAGGGTCAAACAAGCGACCTATTGGCGCTCAGAAGTGACTGATGGTCACATAGACCTGGCTTCACTCAGAGGGGTCATCTTGCTGTCTTGAGTAAATTTATAACTTTGAAAATTCTAATTTCCACCTTACTACCCACCCCGCCCAACTACCACCTCCCCTGTCCCCACCCTGGGGGCTGGGTAAATTGTGTTGCCTACTAATTGTGCACGCTGCTCGTACAGCTCAGTAATGAGTCAGAGGGATTTGGCTGTGTCTGCTCCTTCAGCTTACCCCTCTCATAAACATTCAGT